GGGTGCAGTACACATTACTCATTCTTGTGTATGTTTTAAATTGTGCATTTAACTAGAAAGGTTAAAAATTGTATCCTAACCAAGTTGTTAACTCTTATTTTAATTGCTAATCGCTAATTTAGATAAAAATCAAGAATTGTAATAAAAATTAAAGCTTATTTTCACGAGCTGAGTACCTATAAAAGCAGACTCAGAGGAACGTGGCTGATTCCTGGAGAAGGTCCAGACGCAGACACACCCTTGGGTCATCTCTGGGTAGTTCAAAGAGCAGCACACAGGTGGGATATTATCAACGGAAACAACTTTAATTTAAAATGAGAGCTCCCCTGGACACACGTTTTTAACCGCCCTTAACCTGCTGTATGTTCTTGGGAACGAGCCAGCCACTGCCAACCGGTGCCTAGATGTTTCACTCTGGGCAGAAAGCTGGGACTACGGCTGAGCACAAGGGAAAGGCCACCCCAAGTCGGGATCCAAGGAGTGGAGGATAAAGTGGAGAGAGCAGAGGTAAGCACGGATGACTACTTTGCTCACTCCTGATCTCCAGAAGCCATCTCTGAAACAATTGGTTTCAGGCTCTGGTGTCTGGCCTTGGGAGGGACGAGCCGCCATGTAGTCCCCACAGCGAGGACTGTCAGGGAGAGTGGATGGGGCCAGCCCCTTGGCAGACAGCCACTCTCACTGCACCAGCAACACCTATTCCATGCTCTGATGGGCGTCCGAGGAGCCACAGCCAGGAACAAGGGCACCAGAGCGCATGTGGTAGGCCCATGCTGGCCCTGAGTCCATGATCCCACAACCTTCTAACCTAACAGGCTCTGCAACCTGGGGGAGCACAACTCGGAACCAACACAAATTTCTATGCACTCGTGTTCAGAAAAAGTACACCGAGACCATAGGGGGCACTTCTGTACCTTGCTCAACACTTCAGGTAAGTTCTGAATCAACCACTCCACTTGTTCTGTCATCCAGAGAAGAAATTCTGTGTTGGGAGACCTTCCACTTGTTTACCTAGGCTCCCTCCATGCCTGAGACCCACCCTGAACTGCCCTGAACTACCCTCCAGGACTGGAAGGTCTTATTTCAGTAGCCAGTAGTAAAGGGCTCACACGTCCTAAATCCAAATTCAACTACCACAGCACTGAACCAGTAAATGCCTGTCCCACAGTATGAACTTTGTACTTTGACATATAAATTCATGACTCTCTCTCTTTATTCTACTTAGTACTGTCCTAGAAAAGCAGCTCCCTTGCTCTGTATTCTAGCAGACTTCAGAAGAAAATACTGATTAAATCAACACGGCTGTCTTTTGACAAGATGCACAGCAGCACAGAGAAAGAAGACTGCTTTCCTGTAGCCATTGCTTTAATAAAAGTTCCACAGCTGCTATGCCACTGCCGGCATCACAGGACAGTATCAAAACAGGAAAGGGCAAGTGCATCTTCCACCCAAATTGCTATGAGTTCTGAGGCTGTTTACATGCTATGCTATGGCTCTAGGAACTAGCCCTCCCACCACTGAGGGCCTTCCAGCACACTCTCCACCTCACTGGTTGAAGAGTGGTGACTCACAAGCAGATTCAAGTCTTGTAGGTTTTGATCAGTTCAAGGCCCTCAGCACCATGTGGGCTCCACCTAGATGGCTGCTCCACTGCCCCTGTAGTCCCCGCGTTTATGATGGACACCCCCACTCTTCAACAGGAGGCAGGAACACGCTCCCCATGGAAACACGGTGTGCTCGCTGGGTACTCCATGCGGGAGCCCGGACTGGCCACTCAGCCTCTGTGCAGGAAAGGACTCAGGGTTCCCCTCGATGGAAATGCCATGAACAGTGCCCAAGGCCACCCAGGGACTCGAGGAAGAGGAGGGGGAGTTTCTGTCGTTGTCACTGTCAGTGACCTAAATCTTAACAAATGGAACAGCACTCCCTGGAAATACCTCTACTTAGTATGTGACAGCTCTGGTCCATTCTCTAAAGTCCATTAGCGGAAAATATACCAAAACCCTGGAAGTGGAAATGCATCCACTCTTCAAATTAGGGAAGAACCAGATGTCCATTTAAAAACAAACAGGGACGCCTCAGTGGCTTAGCAATTTAGCGCCTGCCTTTGGCTCAGGGCATGATCCCAGAGTCCTGGGATCGAGTCCTGCATTGGGTTCCCCGCAGGGAGCCTGCTTCTCCCTCTGCCTGTGTCTCTGCCTCTCTCTGTGTCTCTCATGAATAAATAAATAAAATCTTTAAAAAAAAATAAAAAAGAAGAACTGAAACAAAGAACAATTATAGCTAAACTCACCTTAGACGCGCCCCAACTGTACCTTCCCTTCAAAAAGCACTCCTGGGGCCTTGAACAAAAAGGGATTGGGGCACTGACCCCCACATGGTCAACAATCTGGGTAAAACTCCTGACCTACTCAAAATGGAACAGCTTGACCAGAATCCTTACTGGTAACAGAACTGTCAATTAACACCTATTTTTTATGTTAGCTGTATTATATGCCGCGTTTTTACAATCACGTAAGCTGGGGAAAAAGAGATGGTTGAGAAGACAACCATAAGGAAGAGAAGATAATTTTCAGCGCCGTCCTGTGTTTATGGAAAGCAGCCCAGTCCACGTAGACCCATGCAGCTCTAGCCCAGGCTGTCCTAGGGCCACCCACACTTTTACCGTGGGTGGGGCCGGGAGAGGCCTGTCACCAATGTGCTCCCAGAACACCATGAGAGGACTGGCCAGCAGGAGGCACGCACATTTGTTCCATAGCTCCACGAACTTCTGGGGGCAGCAGTGCTCCAGCATAGACCTGAACCCTTGAATCCTGCTGGTACCCACAGGGACGGGGGCCCCACCGTACTCGTCTGTTGGGTGTCTCTGTGCCTCTGTCCAGCAGTGGGGTGTCTGCTCAATCTCCCCAAACCACACAGGGTGCGGCGTGGCCACAGGTCAGTGGGTTGCATGCTGGAGGGCAGCGGTGCAGGAAGCACAGGGCAGAGTGAGGCTCCAGGTCTGCTTCTCTGTACGTGGCTTCCACACACATTTTCCTTGTGGAGAGGGACCATCCTAGTCCGCAGGAGGATTTTTAGGTATAGAAAGTGGTACGAGGCAGGTGGAACAAAGTGCCAAGGCGTCCAGCAGAGCCATCCAGCATCCCGCTTCGAACCAGCTCCTGGCCCGGGGCTACTCCACCAGCGTTCTGGCCCCTCCAGAGGCCACTTGTTGTGAAATGTGTACACTCGTGCATCGTCCCTCTTTTCTCCATCTTCAGATGTACGCGGCAATTAGAAGACACAGGCAAATGGGACCTCCGGGCTTTCCTTTCTTCCTGGCTTCCTCTGGCTACAAAGTACCTTGGTCATAGCCCTCCACTCTTTCAACTGAAACAAGCACTAGTCCAAGCTAGTGCACCAAAGAGCACAGGGACCAGGGCTTTCAGCTGGCACATATATAGACTGCAAAGCTTTAATAGGTAGGTGTTTATTCCTCGTGCTCCAGGGCAAGAAATAATCAGCACCTCAGAGCCAGGAGTTAACAAACAACAGTGCTTCCGACGGGGCTCATGAAATCCTTGCACAAACCCAACAGGACCCAAAATCCTGAGTAAAGGATCTTCTAGTCACAGACACCCAGGAATGTGTAAAACAGGATAAAACTGAACGCACATTACATTCTTATAGCCCAGTATTAACTGACTGGCAAAATCTGTTTTGTGGGAACTGTTCTGGCCTCACAGAGTTAACATTGTGCTCTGCTTCTCTCCCCTGCTGTATTTATGTTTCTATAGTTACCTAATACTTAAGGCTTCTGTTTGTTTTGTTACCTTCTACTTGGGTCAAGGGATGGTTTACCATTTCCAGTGATGCTATGGTTTGATCACGAAGAGCAATCTATTAGATGAAGTAGATCACTGGACCTGACAGAACCATGAAGGTAATGGGCAAATCCACGAAATCTGGGAGGTGCTTTATCAAATTTCCAGGACACACGTACTCACCTCAACATCACACTTTATATTCCAAGTCATCTGCTGACCCTCGCACTACAGATATTTACATTACATGTCCACGAAGAAGCACGTGTGCTCTGACCACCGAGTGCCAGAGAAAAGCACGCTTACGCATCCAGAGCCTCTGCAACAGCCACAGTGTCTCGTGTTCTTCGCCCACAAAGGGTGGTGACTGAGGTGCTTCACAAGCCTTTCAGTATGAATAATTTGGAAAGAACTGCTGTAGGGAGAGGCTCCGGAGGTGGTAGCTAGGGCCCGAGGGTTTCTTCCAGGGTTAAGAGTCTACAATTAAGACTCAAACAATCAGAACTGGATCGTTAGAGTGGTTTCCGTGGGGCAGTAGCAACGACCAGAACCTGGTGGGTTCTGTGAAACTCATTAAATGTAATTCAGTACAAGCACGGTATTTTCATTTAAGAGAGGGTCTCAATGTTCTTTTTAAATTTAACTATGTTGTATGCAAAGACTTGAGGGAGAAAAGTGGCTTTTTACTCTAGTACCTATAGAATTTAGGATTTATGACATACCAGTCACTTAAAATACACAATTTTTTCATTGTCTTTCAACATGCATATGCCTTTTCTAAATTACAAGCTTTTCATTTATTTGGAGACATTATAAAGCAGTGAGCAAGTGCCCGTCAGCATGCTAGGCAGGCCCTTAAGCATGAGCTCAGGCCTCTGTCCTCAGGGAGCTTCTTGTCCAGCAGCAGATCTGAGAAGAGACCCCACATGCCAAGAACGTGCAGCCCTTCCGAGGACAAAAGCAGAAGAGGTTCACAACACACCTGCCACCCGCACCACAACAGTCTAGCCCCATGGAGCTGGAGGGGAAATCATGGGCCAGAGGCTTTAAGACAGGGAAGGCCAGGCCAAGGCCAAGGGGCATGACTGCATGCCTGTCCCCAACATGCAGCGGGAGATGGCATCACACTGGCGTCTCAAACCCTATGCCACCTAAAGCCACACCTGCTAGCTAAAAGCAAGTTTCAGAGTTGCTTACTTGTGGGATGTCCTTTTCTTCATCATGCTTGCAGACACACCAGCATGGCCTAAAAGAGAAGTGAACATAAGTCAATAAAAACTGGACAGAAAAGACTTCAGAACTTGGGAAAAAATAAATTCTGAAAAGCTGCTATATAAAGCATGAAATGAAAATAAACCATAAACAGCCAACATGTAGAAAGCCATTTATGTATCTAACTTTTAAAAAGGAGATAAGAGGAGTTCTGGGAAGATAAAATGACAAGAACAACAGCTTACCTCCCTAAATCAGCCACGAAAAACCACCCAAAATCACATGGACAGATATTACAAAAGTGAATAAGGATCCTGCGTGAAGTTAGCAGGTAGAGAAACTGTGTTCTTGCTACCAGCCACTATGGGTGCAGCAGGCAGACCTGGGTGTCGGCCATTGGGACGATGGGTGGGACAAGACCCCGGGATGAGAAGGCCATACGGGGCCCCATGCTGACCCAGACCATGTTCCCGGGGCAACATGCGGATGACAGGAAGAGAAGGAAACCAGAAGCAGTTGGTACGCCAAGCTGAGAGCCAGAGCTGGGAGGACAGGGGGCCAGGGGGTCTCAGAGGGTCTCCAAACACCTGGAGGTGGGGGGAGCAGGAAGTTGTTCCAAGTCCAGCCAGCCACCTATTTGAACCTGTGGGCCATCAGTAAAAGCCACGAAGAGATGGCCCCTCAGCAGGAAGGCTGAAGGAGCCCTACGAATAAAAATTGCTACTGCCCATCCTGGCATCTGCTGACCCAACAAACTCAAGAGGCCAAGGGGATCCCGATGTGCCACAACACATTACCAATGGGGAGCGGCACCATGCACCACACCCAGTCAGTTTAAGTAACTAGCAGAGGTGCTAAAAGTGCTGTAATAAATACTCTCAAATACATAAAGGAAGATACAACTTAAAAAAAATATGAGAAAAGAAAGGACGGGAATGACCGGGTGGAAAACAGATGCTCTGAAATGAAGATGAGCAGACGTGGTGAGCCACAGGCCAGGCCCGACAGACACAAAGACCAGTGCCGCTGTCCAGCAGCGGGGAATGGCCCTGGTGGCCTGTGGGCCAGTGTCGCCTGGCCCCACGTACAGCAAACTGCACCAATGACACAGGGGGCTGCATGGCAAAGAAACACAACTCTGGAAGAAGGGAGCCCTCTCGATGCAGTAAGTGCACAACCACATGGCCAGCAAGCTCAATGACGCCAACGATGACCAGACGAGGGCACATCCTAAATCACGTTTCTAAAAACCAGCAACCAATAAAATACTTTTAAGACAGCCAGCCAATGAAAGAAGCATTAAATGTACGGACACAAAGAGAATCCTAGCTCCAGATTCACTGTCAGAAAGAGCGGAGCCAGGACAGAAGAGAGAGTGTGGGGCTAGCCTGAGGAAGCCCTGTGCATGGACTTAGCAGCCTCCAGCCCCAATGGAGCATGCGGTTACAGCACACATACACACACCAAGAAGCCACATTTAACAACAGGCTGCGTGTGAACCTTGTCCCAGGACATTGAGGTACATGCAGCAAGACCTGACAACCCCGGCAGGAAAAATCCCCCCTGTTCCCTGTACACACTTGAATTCCTCTCTCGGTAACGGACATAGCAAGCGGGTAGAAAATTGGTGGGTACACAGAAGACCCGAACTCCATAAACAGCCAACATGCATTTTTTCAAGACGTTCACCCCGACACACCACGTGCTCCTAAAACAAACCCTCCATACACTTAACCTGAAATCATAAGAAGTTCATGCTCTGACCACATCAGAATTAAACCAGAAATAGTATCCGCAAATACCTGGTTTTTTGAACATTAAACACCAAACTTCTAAAAGTCCATAGTTCAAAGACAAAAATCACAATGAAAGCAGACCTTGAAGAAAACTGGAAACACAATCCATGGGATGCAGCTATCACAGCAGGTACTAAGGTCATCAAAATTCATGCTGAGCAGCAAAACTATACAGAGAACAAAGAGCCTCAAGACCACAAGCTCAGGATGGTGGTTCCCTGGCTGAAGGAGGAAGGCTTGTGGGTTATCCCCAAAGCATTCTCTCCTTGGCCTCATATTGAAGAGTGTGTTTTAACACACATTTCCTAATACTACATTTATAATTTTAATGTTAAGTAAACAGGGAGACAGACGGCCAACCAGTCTGTGCAGGACTCTCTGTTACTGTTCATAGGTGACGCCAGAGGGACATCCTCCCGACCTCGACCCAGTCCAGCCATCCGGGAAGACACAGCCCGGAAGGAGAGCAGATCTCCCTGAAGCATCCCTGGAACATCTCAAGGCCTGGGGTGGATGGGCTGAGGAAAGCAGGTAATCAAGCAGACATGAAGGATCGCCCAAGGTCTGTTGGACCTGCCACAGGCATCTGCACCCTCCACTCCCACGTGGAGCACTGCAGGACAGGGCAGCTTAGCATCTGGGCTGTGCCGTCTGCATGCCTGGCAAAGCTCCTGCCCACAAGTCACCACACACCCCAGCCAGAGGAGGACCACAGTGGACAGAGTCTTCTCTTTATCACTCAAGAATCCCCCACCGAGGGATCCCTGGGTGGCACAGCGGTTTGGCGCCTGCCTTTGGCCCAGGGCGCGATCCTGGAGACCCGGGATTGAATCCCACGTCGGGCTCTCGGTGCATGGAGCCTGCTTCTCCCTCTGCCTGTGTCTCTGCGCCTCTCTTTCTCTCTCTGTGACTATCATAAATAAAAAAAAAAAAAAAAAAAAAAGAATCTCCCACCGGTATGCATGCTCTAAGACGAGCAGCTCGCTGTTCATGGAATGATCTCAGAGCTATACAGATGAAGTGAAAGAACTGGTATCCTCAAGAACCCTGAGGCCATCACAGTCACCACATGGGAACAAGAGGGAAAGCAAGAGCTCCTGAAAACCGACCGTGGTGGGCAGAAAGGACGGTTCTGAGGTGGCACCTGAGGAGCTGAAGTTTCCCTGCCCCCTAACCGGCAGAAAGCTGAACAAGATGAAGAATCAACAACTCTTCTTCGACTGGCCAGAGAAGCAAAGTCACAGGGTGAACCACTGCTCCCCAAAGCGGAGACAGACCTGGGGATATGGACAAGGAGACAGAACTAAGAGGCAGAAGCTTCTGTGGGGTGGGAACCAGGGCAGGGATGCCCGAGCAACAGGCAGCTGGAGCCTCTGTGTGGACAAGTATGGAACAAACCCTCCAGCCACCAGTCTTGCTGAGGGAACGCAGGGCTCCACGCTTCTGCAGGTTTTACCCTGGGAGCTCCACCAAGTTCTCAGGAAAGATCAGAGAAAAATCTCCTCCTGCTTCCAGCAGAGGGAGGGGAAAGTACACATGTAGAACTCAATGAAGCATTCAAGTCTTCACAAAGCCCCCTCAAGAGCCTAACCTCTGGGGTTCATACCCAAGCCCAGCTGGCCTGAGGGAAGGGACATGCAAAGTCCAGCTGCCTGCTGTCCTACCCCACAGGAGGAGGTGGTCACCCAGTGGCACAACTCACAAAAGGAGACAGGATCACAGCACCACAAACTATGTGCCACCCACATGGCCCGTCGTCACATCACTGCAGATTGATGGGCTTCCTTCGTCCGTACATTGTGTCTTAGTCAAAAAATTATAATGCACATTAAAAAGCAAACAACGTGGTTTGAGGAGAAAGCAAGCATTCGAACTAGACCCAGGTATGGTGGAATTATCAGACCAAGAATTATAAGTAACTATCAATAATAAGCCAGGGGCTCTAATGAAAAAAATGTAGACAACACGTTAGAAAAGATGAGTAATGTAAACAGAGAGAAGCTATCAGAAAAAATTAAAAAGATATGGCAGAGATCACACCATAATGGGAATGAAGATGTGTCTGGGGGACTCACCATGGAGAAAGTGGCATCATGGAAAGTGCTTGATTAAAACCATACAAGGCAGGGGAGAGTGGAAGGGAGAAAAGGAAGAAAGCCCGAGGGCAAGGACCAGGAACAGTGAGAAACGCAGCCAATATGAACCCAGCAATCACTGATCGGGGGTGAGGAAGAATCCTGGAGCTTCTGGACATGCCAACAGAAACCCCCCAAACCTGAAAAGCTAAGAGAAAAAGACCAAGACAGGAAAAAATAAATCAGAATATCCAAGCACCTTGGGACAACTGCAAAGAAGTAACACAATACAAGGGGAATACGAGAAGTAAATGAAGTGACTATTTCCCCAAACTGATGTCAAACACTAACCCAGAAGGCCAGGCAGGATAAGTGCCCCCAAACCACAGAGAAGTGCGTCATATTCACACCACCGCAAATCAAGGACACAGAAAAACTCCTGATAAAGCCAGAGAAAAAACATCTTACACGTGGAGGAAAGGAGCAAAAATCACATCCAATGACTCCTCAGAAAGCCCACATAGAGCAGATTGAGAGACCTCAAGTGCTGGGATAAAATTAAAAACCTGCAATTTTATATTCTGCTACCCTTCAAGAGTGGAGCTGATGATGACCTGCTCAAACAAGCAAAAGTTAAGAGAATCTGTTGCCAAGACACCTGAGCTACAAGAAATGTTAACAGAAATTATTTAGAGAGAAGAAAAAATGATACAACTGAGAAACTCAAATGTGTAGAAAGATCATTAGAGATGGAATCAGTGAAAGTAAAACAAAACCTTTTGTTTTTATTCTTCTTACTAGAACTGGTAACATTTTTTTCAGAATACTAACAAGTACTTTATTATCATAGCTTACCTGTAAGTGAACTGGATTAATTATAAATGTATCCTGCAAACTATAAGACAGTCTCTTAAAAAATAAAAGAACAAAACAAATATAGCATACATTAATCCAATAATCACCTTAAGTATGTCTAAGTACACCAATTAAAAGACCAAGACTGTCAATGTGGAACAAAAAACAAGACCATACTATATACTCTCCACAATAAATCCACTTTAAATATAAAGATATATTTAGATTAAAAGTAGAGAAAAGGAAAAAGATATACCATGCTAACACTGATCGGAGAAGCGAGAGTAGCTATATTAATTTCAGAGAGA